TGTATTATTATTATAAGTCTTGCTGCTCTCACACTTGTTTAACAATATGGTGGTGGCCTTAAGTGCGGTAATTGGCTTTTTCCTAACTGGGGGGGGGGAAGAGCTGAGAGTGGTGGTCATTTGTCTTGGCCTCCACATGTTGTTGAGGTGGCAGTTGTGCATGATAGCATGGGGGGGGGGGGGGGAAGGCTTGAACCCTGGTCCTGGGAGTGTGAGGCAACGTTGCTAACCATTACCCTAACAAACCACGACCCTACAAAGCCACCCCCCTACTTTAACTTAATGGGCTAAGCCTCTGGACCTGTGAGCCAAACAGTTTAGCCGAGCACAGGAGAATTTCAGTTTTAACGTAGTTTGTAAAATCTGAAGTAGCTTATAGAGCCCCCTGACATTGATTAGGTGGTCACCATACCTGGAGCCCATCCCAGACAGCATAGGGCACAAGGCAGGGGTACAACTGTTTGTTTAATTTAGTAGTTTGGTTGAATTATGACCTACACTTGCTGTTCATAATGTGAAGAATTGGTTTTATTTTGTGTAGCTGTAGTGGCATTTTGACAAATTGGACCAATTAAGGAAATAGGGTGAATAAAGTTCAAAGCACACATAGTTGTCCTAGAACTCTGCCTGAGAGTGGTGTATTATAAATGTAACCTCCGTAAATGTGTGTTTTGTTTCTTACACACGTGAAGAAATATACATGAGTATTTTATATTTGCTTTTCACGCACTTCTTCAGGCATAAAGACGAATCGTCCTCCAGTGATGAGGAACACCAAGGAGCTAAATCCAACCCTTGTTCCATCCAGCCTGAGGCCTTGCTTCCTCCAGGGGGAACTTGCTACAAAAAGACGCTTCGTCTGAGCTCTGAGCAGCTGGTGAGGACTACACTTACATTTTGTGTTCCATCGTTGCACCTGTGCCTAATTCTTTACAGATGCCAGCCAAGTTATTTACCATAAAACACAAGGAAAGAATGTAATTTTAATTAGATACAATATACATATTGGCATTGTTTATATTAGTTTTTATCTCAATAACATTCTGACTAGGGCACTGTGGATTTGTTGTGGCTACAATGCCTGTGAGAATGTCGCAGAATTTCAGAATAGTACAGTAACTTTGCCCACTGTCTCCCAGAGGAGTCTGCAGCTGAAGGAAGGACCCAATGATGTTGTCTTCAGCGTCACCACACAGTACCAGGGCACTTGTCGGTGTGAGGGCACCATTTACTTGTGGAGATGGGATGATAAGATTATCGTTTCTGACATTGACGGCACCATCACCAGGTACAGTGATGTCAATGGATGCAAATGCATCTCTTTGCGTTTGGAACAAAGGTGTTTGGCTGAACACTGAACCGACCATTCACTAGTGTATGTGGTATATCTCCTGAAGGTCTGACACCCTTGGGCATATCCTTCCAACATTGGGTAAAGACTGGACACACCAGGGCATCGCTCGCCTATACCACAATGTTAGCCTGTGAGTATGACGTTTCATTGCATGCTGTACATCATTACAGAAGACCAGCGGCTTTGCTCCCTCAGATACAGCTTTTGTGAATCTGCATTGATATGATTCAGGTTGGCATTTCCAAGGCATTTTTTACTTCTCAAGATAACTTGATTGAAAATCACCAACAAGCAACACTAGACATTGACAGCGCTACTGTATTGAGTGGAAATGTGATGACCAGACGTGATTTGGCAGATCATCCCACCATCGGGGAAAAGTTGTCGACTTAAACCTCAGTTAAAGCTTGGAATTCATAATTATCTAGCTCACCTCTTCTCGTAACTCAAATCTTTGTAGTCCACATCTAGATGAATCAAACTGTCATTTACCAGGGTGTTTTGGTCTTTCATCATTGATCACGGTCTCTGTATTTCTGTAGAAACGGATATAAGTTTGTGTACTGCTCTGCCCGGGCCATCGGTATGGCGGACATGACTCGAGGGTACCTGCACTGGGTGAAGGAGAGGGGCACCATGCTACCACAGGGCCCCGTCCTGCTCAGTCCCAGCAGTCTCTTCTCTGCCTTACACAGGCAAGTGACCCTGACTCATCAAACTGCTATATCCCTGGAATTTCCACATTTTCATGGTTTAAAGGTCTAATTTTATTCCATCTCTCTTCAGGGAAGTCATTGAAAAGAAACCAGAGAAATTTAAAATTGAATGTCTGACTGATATTAAGAATCTGTTCCATCCAAACACTGAGCCCTTCTATGCAGCGTTTGGAAACAGAGCTACGGTAAGTGGATTGCACCATGACAACAATAGACCACAGTGTTATGGGAAGGGACAGAATTCAGCATGATTGTGTTACTGTCCAGTAATCATACTGTGATCTGTACTTAGATGTTTTCATATGTCTGGTTTGAAAATGTTTTGACCACTTTGCACAATGGTCCTCAATCAGTAGATCATTTATGATCTTGCTACACTGTGGTATTAAAATTATGATGGATTCAATTTTCAAGTTTCTAATTAAATTTCTACTATGTAATCAAGATTATTTCTTTTGAATGTTTTAGTGTAGTAAAAGCTTGTGCAAAAATCCTTTGGTTTGTTGGATTAGCATGTGAATTCATATCAAATAAATCATTCAAATAAATCTTATTGACTAATCTGCTGTTAATTATTCATGTAGTTCTCATTACGATGTTGTTACAGGACAATCTGATGTGCACGTCTTTCTGATTTGCTATAAAGTTAGACTGTAAAATGTCAGGTACACAGCTTACAACTGAATTATATATAGAATTGCTTACCTTTTTAGTACTATTTTCTATATGTACAGTGCTTTGATATGACATGATCAAGAAAGTAAAACTTACTGTCTGTAAATTCTAAATTATGTGAGATTATTACAAAAAAAACTGTGATATTCAATCAGTTTTATTTGTTGAGATGTAATTGGACTGTTGACTGTCTTATAGGATGTTTATGCATATAAGGAAGTTGGAGTTCCTTTAAATAGAATATTTACAGTCAACCCAAAAGGAGAACTAATTCAAGAACATGCCAAGACAAATATTTCATCGTGAGTATAAAGAAGCCCCCCGAAGGCAACATTTAGTCATTTTGGTGGGTTTTTAATGTCGGCACCTGAGATTTAAATTACCGAAAGCTGCTTTCTCATAGCCAGCCGTGTGTCCTCACTTGATCTTTTCAGGGTTGATTTCAAGCTGCCTTTAGACCATGTTTTTCCATTTACCTCCATCTGTCCACACTCTGCTTTCTCTCTCTCTCTTGCTCTCGCTCTCTCTCTCTCTCGCTCCCCCCCCTCGGTTCCATCTTTTCTATTTTCACACAAAGGTACGGGCGCCTGTGCGACGGGGTCGATCACGTCTTCCCTCCCATCAGCGATGGCAAATTCTCTGACCCGTCCTTTTCTGACCCCTTTGGTCAGGTGGGCCACAGTGCGGAGCAGGAAATGCAGTGTCCAGCACAGTGCACTGGCGATAACCCAGATCCACACACTGAAGCCATTTGACCAAATGGCCAGGCACATATATCGGAAAATGCAGGTCGATGTGTGGAGAGCAGCTTTTCACTGACTTATTGCAGAACTGTGCCGTTTAATGAACGTGTGAACACATACATACATGTACAAGTGATTGCCGCATAAACAAACCGACACACACAAACAAAAGACAAACACTCTGTCTCAATATGTGAGACTTGGGTTTCAGGGTCACATTGCATCACTTTAGCATCATCATTGCAGTTGCAAGTGAATTGTGCACATTTGTCATTTTAATTTTGTTCATTACCAATTTTGTCGATGCTGAGAAATTACTCTGTTACATTTTGTTTCATATAGCTATTGCTCTGAAAAATTACCTTTAAACAGGATACTGCTGCAACATCTGAAAAACAATATATATTATACTATATATAGGTTCATGAAATTCCTCCATTATCATTTGCAGGGTTACAACATACTCAGTCTTGGTTTGCGATGGTTGGCATCAATTAACATATCAATAGCATGCACCAGGCACTGTTACTTTGAGTAACAGTAGAGGAGAAACACTTACTAAATGACACACATTAGCAATGCACAATCACGTGAGTAAGTTAAGCAAGTACTGAAGACATAATGTACTTGCTAATTTAAGGGAAACTCAGGACTTTATAGATTTTCAAGTCAGATTCAGAACAATGTTTGTCTGCTGTCTTCTCCTCCTTCATGCAGATGAGATGATTTTCTGTATTTAAATGACATCAACTTACCCAGATGACGTTTTTTCACCTGGTGGTAGCAACACTGACATTTCTAATATTTCACCTGAATTCATTTTATATATTTTGTGTGTGTGTGTATATATAACTATTTCTCAAGCCTTGCTTAGAAAAATTATATCTATTTAAATTCATAACGCAATATTATTTATGAAATAAATTATGAAGCATTTGCATTTTTAAAGATAATTGTGCCAACATGTGACCATAATGGGAACCTGCAGTGTTCACTGTATTTTAGTCAGTTTAAGTTTAATGGGACATGCAGTTTATTTAGAGAACAAGCCGTAGCAAACAGAGTAGAGTATAGGTTTATTTTTGGATATTGAAAATTTGGCTAACTAGTGATTAACTGCAGAGTTGTTTTTGAGCTGTTAAGAGATTCTTTGTGTAACTGTGATGTATAAAGCCAGTTGTTTAAGATTTCATTCTTATGTCAGTCTTGTGCAACATTAACACAAAAATGATGGAAACCCTTGGCAGCGTTTGCATCTATAGCCTTTTCTTGTGCGTTGCTACATGGATAATTAAGGTAACAATTAGCTGCTGATGGATAGTGTGCAAACACACAGTGGGTTAGAGATGGTAGGCAATGTGATCTGACCAAACGGTGACTTCAAATAATCAGGTGAATGCTGGGTTACAGAAGCTCATAGACCCTTCAAGCCTTGTATGTAATGATCAGCCTTCCCTGTCCGAGGAATGACCTCGCCAGTCAAAGGCCTGTCAGATAGAAGAAGCAGAATCACCCTGTTGTGTGAAATTGTTTTTCTCAGAGTTCAAACTTATACATTTTCCCTTTAACACTTGAACACTAGTGTGCATTGCATCCTTGTCTGTATGTATTTATATGTTGTGTGTACAAAAACATGTAATACATTCATTGAGTGTGTATTGTTTATGATAAATGTGCATACCAGATTGGTGAATTCCACATTGTTTTCTGAAGTGTACTACTTTAAATGGCATTGGACAGCCATTGATCTTTTCTTTTATCATATTGATACTTGATTATGATTCATTGCATAGTAATAGTAGCTGAGTAGTTAAATTGTACTTTAAGTGATCATGTTCCTAGTCATATAATTTACTTTATTGTTCATTGTTGAGTTCTTTAAAAATATGTTCATTCATATTTTCCATTTTTGCAGAGCTCAGCCCTTAGTGTTATTTTGCCTACGTTACTTGCCAGATCTGCACCTTCACCTTTGTTTTCCATAATGGCCATTTTATATTATAATGCAGATGTAATTATATTTGTCATTTGTAGAAGCACAAGTACAGAGGAATTCTTCTGTTTTCATATATTACATCTTGCTCACCTAAGAGGGTGACATTTGGTTAAAGTGCACAAGCACTTTTTGGGGTTAAGGACTTTGCTCAAGGGCCCAACAGTGATATGATCATTCTGGTGGCCGTGGGATTCAAACCAACGAGGAGAACAGACCCCCAACCCCATAGAGGCACAAACCACCCACAATTATCACATTCTTTCTGTGAAAGAGCAGAATAAAGAAAGAAAAAAAGTCATAAACTTAAATGATTTATCTATTAATTAATTTCAGATGTATTTAGATTATTGTATTGTGAAATGTTAGATTGTCAAATATTTGTACTGTTATTTGTGTCAATAAATATAAGCAATAATTATTAGCAGATGATCTGGTGTTCCTGTGTTCACAAATAATGGCATTTTTATGCATGTTAATAAAATTATCTAAAATCTAAAGCAAAGGTTTTAAGCAAGCCTATATGAATTCACATATTCCACACTCAGGTTGAATTAACCATGGAAATACATAACATTTACATAAATATCAGATCTGTAATATTGTGTCATGATTACAGCATGAATTAAAAGTAAAATGTATAATACATTAAATTACTGGTTTGCAGTGGATTTTTTGGAGTCTACAAGTGTTAAAATTGCAGTTTTATGAAAAACCTGTATGGCTACAGCATTCTCCCATTGTACACTAAATGTTAGCATTTACTGTGTGTGTGACATACTGTATGAATGAATCTGCTTTTTCTCTCAGAATGTAACACAGCATGTAATACACACATCTTCTACAATGACTCTTCCATATTCACCGTCTTATCAATGAATCCAACATCCACATCTTCATTTTTCTTTTTCTCTAAGATAGTCAGCTGTAATGAACACACATCAAGTAAGGTTACCATGGCTGCAAAATTAAATTGTATCTTCCAGGACAATGATAATGGTATGGCATCATACCTAGCTTCTCAACGGCTTCAACACAAACACTAGGGTACATGTTTTCATTGTAGGTGGCCACAATGATGTATAATGATGTCTTCACAAGTATGAGACCTTGTGCATTCTAAAACAAAAGGATGGTGAGAAAGTGATCAGTCTAGTCATGTGTTCATGTGTACATCTTCTGACATAATTTAAATACAGATGGATGAATACAGACGGATTTGGAGTACACGGAGTTCCTGTCAGCTCTGACACATGTGTAGGATTTGTCCTGGAAGGAGAGACCCCTTTCCCTAGTGACTTCAGAGTGCTTGAAACAATCAATAAACATCTGGACCTGTGGAAGAATCTGAAGCAATATAGAAATACTATAATCAATGAATTAGGCAATCCAGATAGGTCAAACAACAAATAACTTATGCACTTCTGCCAATTCAATATGTTTGTTATATTTATTTGTTTTTGTTTGGCTTGGAACATTTCTTGGACATAGAGCAGTGAAAATAATCAAAATTGAGCTAAGCATTAGCATAACTGAGAAATATTATTGCTTTACTGACTAAACTATTAGCAAAGGTTGCAATGGGCAATGTGTACATTTATTCACAAACTTTGTCTGTAATGATAAAATTATTTATCCCTATATATTATACATAATGCACCTGTCAAATAATTTGACATTTTTATGCAGCTTACACTTCCACAATTAATAACAATCCGCGTATCCGACAGTAAAAGCAATAACACAAGGCTTTTGTAAACTAAATGCTAACAAAAGTAAACATTAGTAACAAAGAAAGATGTAATACAAAGTACAAAGTGCACAGTGTTTGCTGCACATACTTACATTAAATCTAGCCGTCGCTGCGGCGACACTCGCGTTTTTTATGGTCAAGATTGCAGCGCTTCCTACATGTTTAGTTCCTATTAGGCAATCATCAATAAGAATTTGCAACCGATTCATCTTAGAAGATCGCTATTTGGCGAAGTTACAAGTCCGATTTTCAGGTTTTATTTCCGTGCGAAAACGAACCGTAACCCTGGTTACCATGGCAACAACACTGACGCTGTAGTCCTTTAGGGAAGCGCATTGTTACGTGCCGTATTTATTTTGTATGCATGTAAACTAATATAGTAACCTGCTTCCCTACCTGGCAAGAAGCAGAATGTCAGACCGATTTGTTTTCCTAGTGTTCAGTTCCAAAACCTCCAAACTAATTAAAGTGCTCATTTATTAATTTTTTATTAGTATTTCCTGTTTTTGTTACAATACTGATGGCGAGGGAGTGCTGCATCGTTGTGCACAGACTTTTTGAGAGGCAGGTGCTCAAAAGTTGAAAAGGGGGCACTCTGGTGCACAGGTTCACGTTCATTAAATAATTTGGGCAAAACAGGCAGGTGGTAAGGCACCCCAAGCCTCCTGCTATACAACCTGAACCACAGGGGATGATTTCTAGACCATGCAACATGCTTGAGGTACTCCTCATGTTTAAAAACTATATTCAATTAGCATATCACCAATACACTTCTCTGAAGTTCTGAACTGTATAGCACTTCATAGTTTATTATTCAGTCATAATATTCATAATTTATTAGGATATTGCTTATGTGTTGTTTATATAATACATATAATATGTATTATATTTATACAATATATATTGTTTGTATATTGATTTCCTTGTATTTTAGCCATTTGTAATTTTGGTATTTGTAATATTTGTATTTGTTATTATTATTCGTATTTTAACTTGTTAATTATTTTCTTACTGTCCGGAAGCAACTGTAACCACATAATTTCCTCAGGGATCAATAACGTATTCTGAATCTGCATCAAGGCACAATGTTTAATCAATCATACAATCTACAGTAGATACCAGATTTATCTCAACATGGCCCTTCATGAATCACATGTATGTTAGACAATTTAAAAGGTAGTATTATTTCAAAGTAATTATAAAAACCCAACCCCCCCCCCCCACACACACACAGAGACAAAATAGTAACACTAGTAATGGAAATCACAGTAGAATAGTGGTGGGTGGGATTTACCAATTATTGCCAGTTACTGCCTGGTTTAGAAGTTAACGAGGAAGCTTGGAAACCAGTCAGTCAGTGACAGACAATGCACATTCTTCCCACCAATCATTACTCCCATCACTAAATTACATTACACCAATGATCATTTTAATGAAATGTTAAAAACATGTGATGCTACTTGGCACAAAATAACAATCTACCTTCCAATACATCTGGCATGTGAAATGGGTGTAAACCTCTCGTTAAAGATAGAGGACAAGCAGCTCAAGATGTCGTGCCACATAAAACCATGATTCTAAGTTAGAACGTTACTGCGACCTATGAATGGTCACAGTCATTTGCATAAATTAATATAAATATTACATTTCCAAGCGTGCAGTTATATAACTGAATGATTTAATCTTACATTCAATGATTCTCAAGCATTTAGAATAGATAAAAGGCATGAAGAATTAAATGCAATCCCATTCATAATCCGTTTCAGAAAACCTAAAAGCCCTTTGACAATTAGTCTAGTTATTATAGGAAAGGAAATGAACGATGTTCTACGTGAATTTACAGAACACATTCACACATTTTAAGACAAAGAGTGGAAAAAAGATAATATAAGGCATTTCATAGTTGCATTTAATTCCCTTTAGGAGTATCAGTGCAACACAAAATTATGCAAATGTGGTAAAAAATACTGGGATTTAAAAGCAAAAGTAAACCAAAATCCTGAGATTCTCTCATGTCAGGCGGTAACGTGCAAATGGAATAAGTATACTTTCCAAAACTGCACTTTTATAATACTTTCCTTCATACAAGTACCTTCGTTTACCTCATATTAATTAATATATATAATAATTTTTGAGGCCTTCAAATAGATTTGGCAAAAAGTGCACTAATATTTTACTTAATTCACATTAGTGTGATGGTCAAAAACCAATGACCAGGAAACATAGGTTTGTGTTGTTTAGGAACAATGATAGACTCTGGACACATATTGTTTTCTGCTCAAACATCACGTCTTCTGATCAAAGAGCTGCAGATCCAGCCGGATCATAACTTCCCCAGTTGGCACCTCGTGTAGCAGCAGCCGACGGTTTGACGGGCCCTTGTTCTCAAACTCCTTCTTGATTGTTGCCACAGGAAGCTCTGCACGACCCAGGAAATCTGTGGAGGGAAGTTCAGAGAAAATTCCATTGCATCCTGAAAAAACTGAATATACAGAAAAAATAAGGTGAACACTGAAGATACTGTTTCATAAAGTGTGCAGGTAGCGGCGCATGCACTGAAACTGCACTGACCGTCAGGGGAAAACTGGTTCTTTTCAAAGATTGTAATACACAGGACATCCTGATAGAGGTCTCTGATGAAGAACTGGCAATTGAAATTCCATTTTGGATTGAGTGTGTCTGTCAGGGTACGAGAGGTATAACTCTGCACTCCCACCGATACCTCACAGTATGGGTTACATTTTCCTGCAGGAAAGCAGAAGACATAAAACCGTTTACAGAATTTCAGCTTATGGACTTCATCATGTTGATGAAATTCATAATTCAATTAAAATGCTGTTAGGCCCTACCGGTGGTTTTCGACGACTTTAGCTCTACGGCCTCCTGCACGGTCACAAGCAGACGTCCAATACCACTGGTCTTTACAGAGCGTGCTTGAAATGTGAAGAACAAAGAATTAAGAACCAAGAACCAAAAGAACCACTGAAGTAAGAACCAAGACAATGGGTTATGTTCAGGGGAATTTCTAGCTATTGAAAAAACCCGGGGCTTAATCAAGTTTAGAAGAATGGCATCGGGGATAAAATACTCAGGGTTAAGCAATAAGTACTCAGGGCTAGGCTTAAAATACTCAGGGTTAAGCAATAAGTACTCAGGGCTAGGCTTAAAATACTCNTAAAATACTCAGGGTTAAGCAATAAGTACTCAGGGCTAGGCTTAAAATACTCAGGGTTAAGCAATAAGTACTCAGGGCTAGGCTTAAAATACTCGGGGCTAACGAGGCCCACGGTTACGTTGTAATGCATGGATCCACATTTAGCTAAGCAATACTAGGACAGTGGGCCAAAAATCCTCCATATTTTCTAAGACATAAAAATCCAAGAGAAAAGAGTTATTTGTCAATGACATTTTTAAATTTCAGTTCTTTAACAAGACACTGCAAAAATTCTTCCGTTTCGTTCCAGGTAACCCCACCCTGCCCTGGATTAACCTCAGCTATCAACTCTGCTTATCTGTGGGTTACTGAAGTCCCCCCCATTAAATTGCTTTGATATATGAGCATGGAAAGGTGCTATATACAATAAAGAAATGCAAGGCCCACCCCCAGAGTAATGCCCCACTTTCTTTTCCAAGGCCTCAGAATTTGGCCCATTTGTTTCTGCCTGGGGCTCACATAGCAGTAAGAGAAGGTGTATATATCAGGGTTCTTCAACTCTGGACCTCGATTCCAAATCCAGGCCGTGTTTTCAGTTTTCCCAGGTAGTCGTTTAATAATTACTGATTCTGATTGGTCAGAGGCTTCACACCTTACTGACAGGTAAAGGAATAATAATAATAATTAATAATAATTGATACTTTATTGATCCCCGTGGGGAAATTGTTTTTACGCCTCCCTCAACTTGCACTTTGTAGAGCAAGTTGTCCGCGAAGGGCAGCCACCCGTAGCGGCAGCAGTGCTCGGACCTCGAGGACCGTGAGTTGAATAACCCTGGTATATATTAACATGGGAAGAATTATTCAGGTAAATGGACAGATAAGTACAGCAACAAAAACAAGAGCTGTTACTGTGCTGGCAGGCAACTGTATACGCAGGTGATCAGATTAACAGGCAATGAGCTCTAGGGTCTAATCACACACATCAGCCAGCAGAAAGTTTGAAGAGAGTATAATTTATTGTTTATTTGTATGGCAAACCAAAAACGCCTGCACTGCATAACCTGAATTTAACATATGAGTTTTGCCTTTAATTCTGATATCTTAGCAACTGGCACAGAACCAAGATAAACCATGAAAAACCTCACCTTGATAGGCCTTTTCTCGCCTTTTCTTTTCCATGTCAAGGAAATTATCTGATGCAGCTTTAATCTTCTGCACCCAGGATGTCCTGAAAAGATAAAATTGAAATGCTCTGAAAACTTATTTTGAGAATTTAGTAACAAGTGATACTTCCTATGTGATATTTCAGCTGAATGTCGACCCACTGGTTACAAAAAGAAAATCCCATTGCATCTCGATCTACCGCTCTGACTTCTCACACCTTTCATTGATGTTCTCGGTCTTGAAGGAATAGATTCGTTCGACGTGCAAGATGTGGAAGATTGGGTCATCACTGGAAGGATCAGAGGGAAGTTTCACCAGGACCTCGTTCAGAAACACTGGCTGGGTTTGGGACAGACGAGAAGACAATGAGAATAGGGAGTGATATAGACATGCCCCATTGATGAATTCGCAACAGTGGCTGAAGTCAACTGCTACATGCATGACATAAAGCATTTTAGAGAAATAGTATTAGGATGAGGGAGAAGAGTCATTCACCGTCTTATATATCTTGAACTGTGCATTAGACTTGGAGCTGAACAGTCTATCTCCCCCAGATGAAGAAAACTGCTTGACGAGTTGGGTAAAGAGAAGGAAGTCATTGAAGAGGAACACATGCAGCTCCTTGTTGCTCTTAGTCTTGCACAACTTCCCGCTGTGCAGAAGTTTACGAGGACCCATGCAATTCGTCAGGGAGTTGAAGGTCAAATTCTGTGGGTGGAGATTAGTTTTATTATGGTATTTGGGCAAATGACTCTGTGCATGTTAATATAAGGATTTTCTGGGATTTTATACCCAAGGTTACTGGTAACCATAGCACCTGTGCCACAATTAAAGATCAGAAGATGATTTAACCTAAACTTTGGCGAACTCCACCTATCAAAAAAATAAAGATTAGAATTTGGATATCCAAGTACAGAAAGCACTCTCACCTCAATGATAACTTCACGCTGCACATGGGCCTGGATCCACTCCAGTCGGTCCGAATTCTCCTTCTCCCGTACCCCCTCATTGACCTGCAAACAGAGCTCCTCTGCCTTCTCCAGGGCGTCATGCAGATAGCTGTGGTCCATGTGTGTCTCAGGCGTGCTTTCCAGGATCTGTCAAGCAGCCAAGGGACTCTCAGCAGGTAGGTAATTTACTACATAAAAAAGCTTGAAGAAAAAAAAAAAAAAAAAAACCTCAAAAGCACACTTTTTCAATACAGTCAGAGTACGGGAGGAGACTCACGTTCTTGATGATGAGAGGATAGCGGGTGATCCTCTGCATGGGTTTCAGCAGGAAGCTAGACAGTGGCATGCCTTTGCACCGATAATCAGTGGCAATTTTCTGCATGACAGACAGCTGGGAATTAGTCTTTTACAAAAGATTCCGTTGGAGAACAGATGCAAACATCCATTAACATACAGAAGACTTTCAGGACATGTTTCTTTCTAAATATATAACCATCCTACAAAAGATATGGTTCATTCTTTTTGGGATGGGGTGTGGCTCAGCAAGGTATGACTCACAAATATTGTCCATTCGGAAGGTTACCAGTTCAGATCCCATGGTCAGCAGAGTCATTTCACTGTTGGGCCCTTAATTCCCAATTGCCCTATTGACTAGCTTACCCTGCTTTTTCAACTGTACATCGTTTTAGATAAAAGCACCTGCTAAATAAGGCGAAATAATAAATACATTTGACATTTGCCCTAATATGCACCCCCATTTCTCCATTGCCCTCAGTCTAGCTCATTAGCTTAGCACTGCACTCCTCTCTACCTTTAGGAAGCTCTTGAAGTCGGGCTCTTGGTCAGTCTTGTGCTGCAATAGAGCGGCTGCATTAAGCTGACAGCTGCAGAACAGTATGTACGCCTGCATGGAGGACAGGTGGGAAGCCAGGACGTCGCCCATCATCTGCACAGGCACCTCTTCCCCGGCGGCCGACTTCCGTGCCTGCAGGGCCCTGACAGAGACACACGAAGCGCTGAGCTCGCACAAGACCCACCCCCCATCCCAGCACCAGCAACCCAACCTCATCTACCCCCATGCTGCTCAATGCCAGCATTTCTGTCTCAGCAGGCGACATGCAGTCTCTGTTCCAGCAAGCTTCCAAAAGCTTCTTTTTTTTCCCATCATCACACCAGGCAAAGTTTGACGACTTGACCCTGTTCACTGCACGTCTGCAGTATTTATTTTGCAGTTATAAACACACTAGTGTGCAGTTGGTTATTAAATCCTTTTGCTCTGTTTATGCAACATATTAATTTATCATTTAACTGAAAGAGCATTAATATTGTTCTTTCATTAAAATAATGGCAGCCATTTGTATACCGAGATACACTTTGTATACACTTGCAGTTATTAAATCTCCATTGAAATTCTTAAGTAATGAAAATAAATGATCCCCCGCGACCCCAAATAGGACAGGCGAGTACAGAAAATGGAAGCATGGATGAAAATAAATGAACCCATTTCAAAAGACACTTCCTAGAAATAAGTGAGAGTGCTTTAGCTGTTACAGCTGAGAGGCTGACAGAGGAGCGTTTACTTGAGAAGTTCAGTGTTGGAGGCAATGAGCTCATTCCAGTTGACAAAGATCATGTTCATCTCTGTGTCTGTCAGGCGGCCAGATTCAGACATGGGCTTGTGAAAAACCTGAAATGATGACAACGATAAAACGATACACACAAGCGATCCACAAATAGACGCTTGCAAAGATACTGTTATTATTTGCGTATACGCAAAATAGCTAATTTACATAAAATCAAATCACAAGAAATTCAAAAACTTCACATCAGCAATTATAAAAATCATTAAAAAAATGACACTAAACACACTTGTTTTTTTTGCACAGCATCTGCTACCTGAAACTGAGAAATCTGGCATGTTCTAAGGCTGAGTGGCTATAGCAATAAATCCGTGTTCGTTTCAATCAGCTAAAGCAACATTTGTCAACCTGGTCTTCAGGCACCAAAAGTCAGTCCATGTTTTTGCTCCTTCCAAGCTCCCTGCTAGACAGACCACATTGCTGAGAGGGGGTAAAAATGGAGTAGGGAGCTCGGAGAGAGCAAAAACATGTACTGACTGAGGGACCCCAAGGACCAGATTGGGAAACACTGAGCTAAAGCAGTGCTGCGACACCTGCAGGGCCAGCTGAAGGTCTTCTACATAGCGCTCCTCAGTCTCGATGAGCTCGTGGATGTAGCCTTGTCGCTTCCTCTCCAGCGGGCTCATGCTCTCCAGCCTCATCAGGTCCCCATTCCCTACAGGACAAGGATGGAGCATCACAGGGAGGTCCAGGGGCAGGTGGAATGAGGCTGGATGCAGCGCAAAGAAAAGCATCAAGACACCGTCAAACATTTCTGGCCCAGAATCAAGCTTCTGGCAGGAATCGTACATTTTCTCTGCCTTGAAATGCCAAAGAACTCCCTGCAGGACGAGCACCAATAAACATTATAGCATTCAGCCTCACCTGATGACGAAACCGCAAATGTGGCCATGAGCTCCCACTGAGGTCTTTAAAATAAGCTTGTAATACATACATACATATACACACACACACACACACACAGGTTTGCAATTATATCTTTGTGGGGACTCTCCATTCATTTCTATGGGGGAAAACTATAATAACAACATGACGACCTTAACCCCTACCCAGCCCTAACCTTAAGCATAAGTAACCAAACAACATACGTATTTTTAGTTTTTTGATTGCATTCACAAATCTTTGTGGTGACCTGAACAATGGTCCCCACAATGTCAAAATAACAGGTTCATATTACATTGAGGAGAACATTTGGTCCCCACAATGCAATATAAACATAATCCACACACACAGGTTTGACAACCTTACCCCCAACCCAGCTCTAATGTTAACCATGAGTAAACAGTAACAGATTTTTATAAAATGAGTCTCCCCTTGTGGGGACCAAAAAAATGGTCATACAACATCAAAATATACACCCCCCCCCCCCCACACACACACACACACACACACACTTATAGGATTACAAGGCCATGCAGGAAGTGTTAAAAATATGAAGTGTCTTCACATCCTAAAATAACAAGCTGAACTGTGCAGAATCATATGATTAGAACAATGGAATTATTCGTGTACCACATTTCCAAGACCTTTTCCCCTTTTAAAAAAGGAAAAGACGGATCACGGGTGTTTCCGCAGTCTTCTGCTTCACCGTTACTGGAATAAAACTCAAATTCTGCTCACGTTAAAAGAAACTCCTATCAGCATTCCAGGACAGCCTCATCAAAACAAGCTCACAGTGTCTGTGCAGCAAGAACTGACCCACATAAAGCAAAATAATGAAATTAAGTTTTATTTTATATACATATTTATATGTATACATGAGTTTGTGTATAAACCTAAGGGTAAGTCACAATCTAAAGCACAGTTTTAAAGAAAAGAAAAAAAACAAGATAATACTGAATGTGTTAGAACAACCAGACACCAACTTCAAAAGGGCCAATAAAATGCAAAATCAGTCACAGCATTCCAAGGAAGTTAACAGCCTTGAATACAGTAGCATCTCTGTACAAATACTACCATTTGTACACTCTTTAAAAACACTGCAATCATTATTTTGTTAAAAATGTTATGCATAATTGTGTCACGTGGTGCTATATTAAATATAACCATGCAGTTAGTAGTTGGACTGCACAGATAATTAGTTGAACTTGACTGGTGTTAACAGAAGAGGTTTATTTTAATGTCTAGAAATGAACATTTCATAAAAAGATGGCAAAAAATTGTAGTTATTCCATATCTGACACTTAAGCAACAACAAGCTCAAAATGATTGTAAAATCCAAATGTAGTTCGCATGATACAAAACATGAGAAGGTATTATATATATATTCTAGATAACAAAAAAGTCAAAAAGACTGTTAGTTTGCCTACATTTGTGCTTCCTTGGGTTTGTATCAGTCGTTTGTATTTGTATTCAGTTTTCCAAGGTAAAATGTAGTGATCGTGCCACAATGTAATATAGTTTGCAGAATCTTATCTTCTTAAATGTAAAGAATATCCAAGGCAAAATCTCCTGAACAAATCATGACCAAATTACATTTAAATATTAGATGGCTGCTCTTTGAGTAATAGTTTCAGCATTGTTAATTCTGAAAATTCAATTGGGGCAAAAGATTAAAAAGTCTTATTAATTACATTGCAGCATGAAGGCTATTAATCGATTTGGCAGTCATTTGCAAAGTTAGCAATCATAAACACTCATAAACACTGTTAACAACAACGGGGCTAAATGAAAATCTCGCATTGTTGGCAGTAACAGCCAGACATGTTCAGGTTAAAGTAACAATGAGGTGTGACACTTTTATTCATACAGAGAAATTATTGTAAAAGAGAAAAACACTAGAACTTAGAACAAAACAAAAGGCCATTTTCAAAATTCTAGACCCTCCCCACACACACAGTATCCAAAAGGGGTGACATCTTTTAAAAAGCATTTCAACTCAAACTGTATAAAGAGAATGAGTTTTTGTATGATGGAGGACCCACATTGGGCAAAATCAATAGGACGAAAGACGTCCATCAACATTCCATCCATCTCAGGAATAATAAACCAAAAGCAGACAGGATACTCACAGAAGAAAAAGCCACCGAAAGACCCACTAAACCTCTGCTAAAATAACAGTCCACAAATAACTAGATCAGCGGCACAAACAAACATGTTAACAGGACCCAAGTCTCAGGCGGTTTCAAACTACCTTCCTGCTAATTTCTCAAGAGAGTAAGGAATTCGGTGCAGAGCACGAAGGTCTAGCATAGCTGGCATAGCCAATCAAAAGAGGCCAAAAAGGGGTTTATGGGTAAAAAATATATATATTAAAAATCACTGAGCTGAGAAGGCCCTATCCAATGGGTGAGGTGGGTCGCCGTCGTTGTCCCAGAGCCTACGTAAAACCAGGTCTCTGATAGGTGCGAAGGAGAAGAGGAGGAAACCCTATCATCCTATAGAGAAACAGAGATGGAAGGGAAAGGAGGAGAACAAAACAACAGGGGGAAAAATGACAGAAAATAACAAGAAAGATGGATGATGAATGGAGAGAGATGGAAGAAATTAAGTTGACTGTGAACTTAACTATAACACTAAAGATTAAGTGCTATAGTCTTCACAGAAGCAATGTGGGAATACTTTTAGTTCTTAATATTAGTTTCAAAGTAAAATCAGGAATTATCTGGTTTATTGGTATGGTTAAGACATAGAGTAAGATTCCTTACTGTACCCAGAAACTTCAAAATGCACATGCTCAAATTTAATACATTCTAGTCAAAAAGCTTTAAAAACTATTTTATGCACCATTAAAGACAATGCACACTTCCAAACTATCTAGTATTTTATAATAAATCTTTACATTTGAATCGCACCCACTTCCTCTCTCACACACAAAGACACACATAAGTGTGATATAACTTATTTGACAATATTCTGTCAGACAGGCAGAGACTATATTGCTTATAAACTGGACCAAAACAGTGTCATACCTTTTAAACATACAAGACAACTGCTAGAATTCATAGATTTTTGTGCAAGTCAATGCAGTATGTGGCTTTTATTGGTACACCTTTTGGCAAACGTTAAATACTAAAACCCAAATTTTCCATTTAAAATCTAAAAGCAGAGAATCTGCATTGACCTTATTTTCAGAGCAGGTGGTCTAACACACTTTCCATAATGGATGGTTTAATATTAACGCTTAATTCAAATTAATTATTATGTATACATATGCGTATACATAAAAATTAATCTGAACTAATGTTAGAGACCCAGCTTGCCTGTAGTTATGGTGCTATGTCAGATTTGGCTTCTGATATTTTATATTCTTAACAGACTTAAAATCAGCTAAAGGTCTGGAGGTACAAAAATATTATTCCCCTGTATAAAAACACATCCCTGAGTAGAAAGATCTGCATCTAAGAACAGATGGTAACAAATGACTCCCTTGATTAGTCAAGGAAACAGTAAGCAGTAAATGCAGACCACCCTGCTGTCACAGACACAGGACTTTGTTCATTTCCAAGAAAACCTCATAATTCAATCCTTTGACAAGCTCACTACAATAAAAAGAAAAATACCCTGGTCTAATCTTCCATTAGAAGGTTTCTTAGTGACTTAGGTACTGAAATATACATTAATTAACATGCTAATGTAAGAGCCAGCTTTGCATTAATATAAACAGTCCTCCCCCCTCTGTATTCATTCAAACACCCTGGCTGATAAGCATTTTTTTTTTTTTTACCAGTTTTAAGCTGGTACTTACATTGCTGACTGGTGTCAGACTCATTGGTACTCATTTTGATGTAGTTGGTGGGGATGAGCCCTGTAACTCCATTGATTTCACCTTTCCACCAATCTGGGCTCATCTTTTCCAGGACATTGATTGGCTGACCCTTGGAGAAGCTCATCTCATCCTCATTGACGGCCGTGTAGTCATACAACGAAATGACCTGGCAGACTGGTGGACACAAGAGGCCCAGAAGGTGAGAGGGGCTAATAGGTTATAAGGCTGCTGTAGGCTTACAGTAGAAGTGCTCTTACTAGGGAGAGGAGCTGGGGTGGACGTCCCACTACTGGGACCAAGCAGTTTAACATGGGAGGCAGGGAACCAGCCCTTCTGGCGCTTTTTACCTCTCGCCTGGACAGAAGAAATGTCAAGTATAAAAACATCCAAAACACGACATTTTTTGAGCATGTTACATTGATTCATTTTCATTGTGAAATATACAAGTACATGCAATAACCTTCAAAAACACTTGTCACTCCTGTACTTTATGTTATTGTTACATAGTGTCTCTTTATAATTTCTCTTTTATAGTTTGTTTACCTAAATATGTGCTTATTTTGATATATATAGTTATTTCTTTTGTATATTGCTTACATTTTTTACATACCCATTACATCATATTTGTATCATACTGGCTTTGGAAATCACTAACGTAATCAATGACAAAACAACCTCCAATTCTGGAATTAACAAGAATAAACCCATTTAGAAACAAAACGGTTTCTATGAAATCTGACCAAAAAAAAGTCTGTCCCGTGACTTTGCTCATAACCAGCACGACTGACCTGCAGCTCGCCAAGCCACCATCCCGTGGGGTTTTTGGTGAGGATCAGAATCAGCTGGCCGGGCGACAGGCTCAGTTGCTCTGCTCCAGTGGCTGTGTAAGCACTGGACACCTGGGCCACCTCTGGAAAGCACAGAGCAAGACGAAGCATGACCAGCACGTGTTCATCTGGCAGCTAGATAAGGCATTCTTACACCAAGCATATTCTGCTGATGATTAAACTGATAAACACCAGTTTTTTTCCTCCTTACTCGCACTGCCCTGCATATTCTACATAACTACCAGCCAGCCATTTGTACAACTGCCTGAAATATGTACACAGCCACACCTGCTTTCTTGCCAGAGGCACCAGGTCTGCCATTATTACTGGAGATCTGAAAAGACAGAGGCGTCGATGTTATTTGTTTTAGCATCGGCTTTTCTTATAACATTTGCGCCATACAATAGTAATCAAAATGTGAAAATATAAAGTATCAATCCATCCCTTTCCTATATCCACTTATGCTATTCAGGGTTGTGGGGGATCTGAGCCTATCCCAGAGGCCATGGGCACAAGGAAGGGTATTAGCCAGGATGGGGAGCTAACTCATCACAGTGCATACTCACACATGCACATCTATGGGCAATTTGGCAACTTCATTTAACCGCAGCATGTTTTTGGAGCGTGGGGAGAAAGCGGAGCACCCGGAGGAAACCCCATGACATGTGGAGAACACGCAAACTCCACACACAGGGAGCCCTGGGGGAGACTCAAACGCAGGTCCCAGAGGTGTGAGGCAACAGTGCCAACCACTGTGCCACCCCTTAGCTAATATAAGCAAAATATACAGAAATATGCAACAATTCAAGACAAAATAGCAAAAAATCCATGGAAAGTCAAATACCATACAAATGTTGACAATATATACAAATAATTTTTCCATTTACGTCAGGCTCTCTTGATTTGACGTAGGTGGAGGGAAAGACGCCAGTCCTGTCCCCGATGCAGCCCCTCCACCATTCTCCGTCTCGTTCCGTAACAAGGATACTCTCCCCCTGGTTGAAGGCCAAGTCTCCCGGTTCTGGGCTCTCGTAAGTGTATAGGGCTACATACTCTGATTGGATGTAATACATCGGTTAGTCACCAGATTGAACTTTCTAGTGACTTTGAATTACATTCTTCAACTAATGTGAGATAAAGTGCATCCAGGTTTTGAGACAAATATAACATATATATTTACTATGCAGTTAAAATATAATGAACAAAATGTATTTAAATTAGAGATGCACCGATTGCAAATTTCTTGGCCGATTCCGATTTTACAGTAAGTGTGACCTGCCGATTCCGATTTTTTTAAAGAACTGTAACGAAAGCATATGACATATGGCTTGGACTCGGCGCGCTAGCTTTAGCCACTTTCCACTTTTCAAACTGGGCATATTCAGCTAAATGATAGCGTTTTAAGTGTCTTATTAGGTTTGTTGTTCCGAACGTTTTTGAGCTTGTTCCCCCACGATGTATTTTTGCTTTACAAACGCTACAACCTGCGATCTTTGTGTCATCTC